ATTTCAAAAAGGCGGGGCATAGAGGAGAAACAATAATGTACAGTATGTGGAAAATAATGTTTTTTTTTTACATTAAACCGCATAAACACATTTCATTGCACCAAATACACAAAATACACAAAATAATGTTCTTTTTAGCAACATCATATGACCCCTTTTAACAAGGAAAAAAACAAAGGAAACAGAGGAAACAGGAACTAAGGAAAACAAGGAAATACAAACTAAAAGTCTTTGGAAACGAACACTCAAACGTTACAATTACATGATATACTACTTAACTAATTCATTCAATTAATTTGCGGATATTCACACCCAAATGAAGACAATTCAAAGACAATAAAACTTACAGATGAATAAAGCATTTCATATACATTACAAAATATGTCATTTAGAAGTCAGAAATAATTCCTTATTACAGAAGTTTATTTTTAGTGCATCATTTTAATTTTTATTCTCAATTGCTAATTGTTAACTGTTTGTAAATGAATGGTTATTCTTCATTATTTTTTATTCTTAAATGATTGTGTTACCAGCTCTAGATAATGACATGGAAAAGATCTAAAATGAATAAATTAGTATACTATTATTCATCTGTCCATCGGTTTTCCCAGGTTTGGAATTTATGGCTTTTAGACATATTCAAAGTTTGTTTTGTTTTTGTTTGTTTTTTTAAACATCTGTGTATATATATATATATATATATATATATGGATCCCTTACAAAAGCTTTGGCGCTGATGTGATACAGTGATGATATCAGACGGTAATACATGATACTGAGCAATATTATTCATATAACATTGTATGACAAGGTCAAGGTCCAAAAACATGATATAACTGTATTATTATTTGAAATTGAAAGAAGAGCCATATATTTTGGCAGCATAGCAGACGACAAAACCAGCAGGAATCAGTGAGCTGAGAAACAGATCTGCTCGGGAGAGTGTTTTCCTCCATCCTTTGAAGCCGAGAGATGAACAAGAGCAAATGAGAGTCTGCATCTCTGCTCTGTGTTCGTGCGGAGCAGGTGAAGGCCTGCGTCCCATCATTAGAGAATGCGATTAGGCCGAGGCGACTTTCACAGATTCACGTGTGTCTTTCGAGCTCTGGAACTCCAAGCACATGAAAAACTCCCTGAATGGCCTCTTTATGAAGTTCAGACGGGTCAGTTAGTAGCGGTGCGTTAACCCGCTGACCCGCACAGAAACACTGTCCCATTCAGTACAGTGAGAGTCTGAGTGAAGCCTGCTGTTTGCATCTGCCAGTCACCGAATGATCGGAAACACAGAAAACAGCATTAGAGACGGCGTGAGAGAGACAGAAAGCCCATCAGATGGAGACGGATCTATAAAACAGGAGAGAATAATGGCGGCTTGTTTGTCACGGCATAATCGCCCGTTTCATCCTAATGGACGGCTGAGGCTTTGAAGAGACGAGGCCTTCAGCCCTTTGAGGAGGGGCTGCGCTGCTTTAGAAGATCCCGCCGGCACCGCCACTGATTGAGCCCTCCAAACAAAAAACTGAAGAAAGAAACGAGGAGCACTTTCCAGACGGACTGGAGGCTTCATTGCTCTGGTCCTGTGGGCGGAGCCGCAGCTCTCCTTTGATCGCTGGTCTTCCTGCTGCTGAGCGACGCACGGTTGTTTCTAATGCTGCACACATTCAGCACACTTCACTTCATGTGGCTCACTCATCTCCGCTGATAGACAGAAGCGCAATCAAAATCCTTTCAGCTACTGATTTAGCTATGCTTATTTTTCTCATAAATGTTATATTTGTATAGGGCTGTCAATCAGTTAAAAATTATATTTGAATGGAATTATAATTTTATTTAAAATTATTTTTATATACATTAAAATATTATTATATTATATATATATATATGTAATATTATGTTTATATAATCTAAATTATATCAATATTATTTGTTTTGTGGCAGATGAGTAAAGTATTGAATATTACAAAAAAAAAAAATGGTGAAAACTGGAAATTTCCTTTTTATGGAATGTATGTATAGACCAAGGGTCTAGGTCAAAAATGTATCAATTTTTATAATTTTTTTTTTTTGCATTTTTTAAAATTCTTAATTGTTAACTGTTTGTAAACTAATTGTTATTCCTAATTATTTTTATTCTTAAATAAATGTGTTGACAGCTCTAGACAATTACATTTACATTGAATTTAAATTAATGTAATTCAATTTTATTTTATTTGATCAAATTACTTGCAATATATATAATTTAATAATAACTAATAATTAATAATAATAATAATTTATGCATTTAGCAGACGCTTTTATCCAAAGCAACTTACAGTGCATTCAGGCTATACATTTTTTTTACCAGTATGAATATATTAATATATATAATCTATTTATCATATTGTTTAAATTATACATTTGTTTATTCATAATATTATGCTTCTATAATTTAAATTATCTTTTTTTTTTTTTTACTTTTTTGTGGCAGATGAGTAAAGAGTGTTAAAAAAATGAATAGCACTATATTACAGAAAATGTGGTGAAAATTGGGAAAACCTATATCAAAATCATGTGATTGGTTGACGCTGGCTGAGCCCCGCCTCCAAGTCCTCTGATTGGCTGTCACACATGAACCTGAGGCTGCCATGGAGTGTTAATTCAGTGATATCTCTCAGATAGCAAGGACATTTTATATGATATATTCCAAATATCTCTGAAAAATAGGAAAAATGAGAATCAAAAAACAAAAGCGCATTTTGTGCATATTTTTTTGAGTTCTCTCAATTTCTTCGTAACGAGTCAGATGTGTTTTTTTTTGTAGGAAGACATTATTTGAAACCTCTGCCAGCAAGTTCATATTTTCCCATTTTCTGTCCCCGTTTGTCGCTAATTATCCTTCATCACAGAGGGATTCTTTGCAGAAACGCTGGCCAAGCTGCCTGAAAACCATCACGGCCTCATTCAGATGCTGCGGTTGTGTAAAATGATGAAGATCTATAATTCACTGGAACTTGGCTTCTGTCCTCCAAACTGCTCGCTGGCAGACGCTCTGCATTAATGAACAGATCATTCCTGATCGCGCTCCCAGAGACAGAGTCCAGCCGCTGATTTGTTTCCAGCAGACAGAAGTTCTGACCGTCACGCCATTCACAGAGCCTCTGTACATCGAGATCCAGAGCGTTTGGGCCGAGGTTGAGAAATACAAACACAGCACCACTGAGTGCTTCACATGGCGCCAGGAACTGGAAAACTCATTTTTATGGAATTTTTGTATGTATCAAGGGGGATAATTATTACGTTATATATATATATATATATATATATAATTGAAATATTAGAAAATAATGCACACCTGAGGTGGTGATGCAGCCACAACACAAAGCACTATCATACGAGTGTAAAAACAATCTTCTGTGCAGAACTACTTCCTTCCGCCACAGATTCAGATCTCAGTTTGACAGTGTAACTGCTGAGAATATGATAAAGCATTCATTCTTCAGCTCAATCTCATATTCACAATAAAACATTAGTCTGAATGTCTGCAGAGGAAAGCCATATCTGTGTCGTTCTATCTTTCATCTGTTAAAGGCATAGTTCAGTCAAAAATGAACATGACCCCATGATTTACTCAGCCTCGAGTCATCCTAGGTGTGTATGACCTTCTTCTTTCAGACGAATCCAATCAGAGTTATATAAAAAATGTCCTGGCTCTTCCAAGCTTTATAATGGCAGTGAATGGGTGTTGAGATTTTGAAGCCCAAAAAAGTGCATCCATCCATCATTAAAAGGCTCCGGGGGTTAATAAAGGCCTCCTGTACGTATGTATGTATAATCACATTAAATTAACAGGTTAAATAGACAGCCCTATTGTTTTTTTATTAATTCCTAAATAATAATAGGCTTTATTTATGGTTATTACAACATCCATTCATGACTGTATGGAAATTAGTATAGAAAATCATAGATACATGAATTCATGTTTCCGTGTATCATTTTTTTGCACACACAGCAGATGGAATTGCAATGCTAATGATTGTTTCCAAATGTTTTTCTAAATTCATTCATGATATTCTACTTAACTAATCAAATGAACTGCAATGAATCACGCCCAAACGAAGATCATTCAGACAAAGGCCGCTGCTTTCAGGAAGTCACATGATGCTGTTGATCTAAAACATTCAAAGCATTTGGCTGTGCATTTATTTAATGTTTCTCTCTGCAGCTCGCGACCATCAGGAGTGAATCGCGTCTGAAGCACCTTCTCCTGCGTTTGCCCAGTTACTGCCCCGAGTCTCTGGTAAGGCATCGTGTTTACATTACAGCTGTCGCCCCGGCAACACAGGAAGTCTTAAACCGAGAGAGCGCTGCTGCTTCCTGTTCCTCCCTCGTGGTTTGGTGCTGCTTGGCAGTAATGAAGCCGAGATGAAGGCTGATGGATGCCCTCCACCCTCTTTCCCTGAGTTTCAAAGCTGGATTGCCAGCGCCAGCAATATGCAATTACACTCAGCCTCTAATTAGCCATAGTGGAAGCCTCAGGCCTGTTTCAGTTGGATGTGTGTCCTGCGCTAATTCACCGAAAATGGATGCAAATGGATTTTGGAAGCATTTGAAATGTGTTTGAAAGCATTTCAGAGTCAGAATCAAGCCTGTTTTTTTGAGTCTGATGCATCAAAACCACATTGTTTTTTGTGCTCCTCACAAATGATGCTGAATGGTTTTGACGGGCTTGTTTTTCATACGCCAGAGAGCATTGACGTCGAATCTCAGACATTGTCCTGTTTATTCTTGTTTATTCATTGTCCTGTTGAGTCATATTAGGAGGCTCTCTGGAGCCGCAGTGCAAAGAAGAAGAGCTTCACTGATGGAGCCATCTTTGCATACGGGTCCTGTCCTTTAACAGCTTAAAGAAGAGTGGTTTTGTCTTTCAGTTTGCCATCCATAAAATTACATTTGAGATGCTTCACATATTGTATTGTGTGTTTTGTGTTGCACAAAATATAAACCATGACACCAGATTCTCTAAATATTTACACTACTGTTGAAAGGTTTGGGGTCAGAGAGATTTTTCAAAATAAATTAATACTTTTATTCATCAAGGCTGCATTAAATTGATCAAAAGTGAGAGTAAAGACATTTATAATGTGACAAAAGATTTCTATTTCAAATAAATGCTGCTCTTCTGAACTTTCTATTCATCTGTGAATCCTGAAAAATAAAATGTATCACAGTTTCCACAAAAATATTGTGCAGCACAACTGTTTTCAACATTGATAATAATCAGAAATGTTTGTTGAGCAGCAAATCAGCATATTATACTGATTTCTGAAGATCATGTGACACTGAAGACTGGAGTAATGATGCTGAAAATACAGCTGCACATCACAGAAATAAATTACAGTTTAACAGATATTCACATAGAAAACAGCTGTTTTACACTGTAATAATATTTCAGTTTTTACTGTATTTTTGATCAAATAAATGCATCCTTGATGAGCAGAAGAGACTTCTTTCAGAAACATTAAACAAATCTTACCAACCACAACATTTTGAATGGTAGTGTGCATTTTTCTCATTTAAAACGTTTTTACTAAATTTTCACACATTATAATTAATAATAATAACTGCATAACAACTTGAGTAAAAAGTGCTCAATGCACAAATTTAAAAACAGTGCATAATCATACTTTAAAAATTTTTTTTTTATGTGTTTAATGTATAAATATTCAAAAGTAATTTTATTTGATAAAACCAATAAATGTTTTTTATTTCTAGGTTTATATTATATTTGGAGTCTCACATCTTAAATCTGTTCTTCTGAACCTGAACATTATATTATCATCAACTCCCTCATGTTGCCTGAAGTGAGATTTTCAGTAAATAATGACCTGCTACATAACTTATTCTGCTCTTCAAAGAAGAATCCTCAGGTTGGAAGCACATGAGAGCGAGTAGATGATGTATTCTGAGTTGTTGTCGTGCTAAACATCTCCTTTTCGCTTCGCAGAGTGAACTTTGGATCTGCATCAACAACACATTGCCGGGTACGTGAACACAGATGGAGACGTTTAGAGCCATCTGCAGAACACACCTGTACCAGCCTTAAAAGAACAAGAGAGGATTTAGAGTCTCTGAAGACATAATGCCTCCCAGATGCACAAATATCACACTTCACATCAGTCAAGCTACACCTTGCATGGCCATTAAAACCCCGTCCAGAGCGTTGAGCTGCAGCTCATAAAGAACCCAAGCCAAACGCTCCACATTCAAAGCACGTCTGCATGCAATATGAATGCTGTGTTGTTTTGAGACTCATCAGTGTGTCATGTATGGTTATGCATTAGATCCACTGTAAAGCTCACTGTGATTCTGAACATTTCCAGGAGCATCAAAGAAGTCAGACGGATGGGTGGGTTTGGGCTGCTGTGAGCTGGCCATCTCCGCTGAATGCCGCAGGGACTGCAAGCAGGTCAGTAAACAGATCTGACTTTTCACCTCACGCATTTCATGTGCTCCCGGCTCTAAATCAAAATACTTTTAGGCCACAACATAGAGAATGTAGAGATGTCACTGTCAGACTGTGATTCTTATATTTGTGTTTTTAGGCATCATCTAAAAACGACATCACTAAAGTATGCAAGAAAGACACAGAGGTGGGAGCTTTACCTTTATTTTACAACTGTCGACGTGTTGGAAGCCTGTTTCCACCTCAGAGTCAAAATAGGTAATTGTGGTAATTATGAGAATAACCGTTACTCTTTTTTGGTGAAATGGAAAGTCATGACTGCGAGAAATGCAGATTGTGAGAGATTGTCGCAATTACGAAGATGTGAGATTGTGAGAGTCACAAATACTTTTATTTTCCTTCTTCGAGGTAGAAACAGGCTTTCAGAAATCACACATTAAGTTCATTCCAATAATGCATTTTAATACAACGTGAATAACCTCAGCTTGTGTTCTGGTCATTTTTCCCAAAAATGCTGGTTAATATTATCACATTGGACTAAAGCTCACTGACTTTGCTCACACAGGGTAGAACAACTTCACAAGAAACATTTGATCATTTTAGAATTTTTAAAGAATTTTTCCCACGCCTTGTTACAATTATGGTGTTTTTGGTCAAAAAAGACCAGAAAGCTCTCATTATGCTGCATTATTACCACTGATTGATTGTAGGCCTCATTATGCACCTCAAAATGTGAAAAAGCATTATTTTGCCAATGTTCATGTTCGAGGTTTAAGCTCAATCAATCAGTTCCTAAAGAAATACAAAACCTGTGCTAACTGAAAGAAGTTTGGATCCATGATTTGGTGATAATAGTATAAAATGTTTTGCGATTTTTAAACAGCCGTAATTTTTAACACCAAATTAGGGTCTAGTGATCACACCAGTGGTTATTTGCAGTATTTATTATTATTTTAAATGATCTTTTCTATTTTTCTGTTTTATCTCATTTATTAATGAATTTGTTTGTCATCTAATGCTTATGTTTTACTTTATCGCAGCTATATTTCAAGTTTGAATAGTTTTAGTTAAACCTATCGCTAATAACACTGGATTAGACTGATGACCTGAGTCAGATTTAAACCAGAACATCATAGCGCTGGTGCTGAGCCAGTATGGAAAATATACTTCAAACACCTTAGCAACCACATAACAATTCCTTGACAACCGTCCTCCGCACCGCAGCGTTGGGCCAGTGACATTTCCTTCAGAAACGCTGTGAATCTGGTTTAACACACAAACTTCATGCAGACTCTTGCTCCGGTTGAGATGTTGAGATGAAAGCAGGCAGACTCTGGGAGGTCTCTATCTTTCATCAGAGTCCTGGACACTTCTCTGTTTGTTTGTCTGGCGGCTCTGCAGTCTGAAACGAGACTCAAGCTTTATTTGTGTTTATTCATTTAAAGCCTGGTTTCTAGCACAGGCCCAAACCTCTTTATGAGGTTGTTTCGTTAGTGTTGAGCAATGGAAAAATATCGTTTCCCTCTAACTGGACATGCTGTCGCCACATTACAGCGCAATAAATCTGTAATTCTGCTGGCTGAGTGTTATAAAAGAGTAATGATCCCGATAGAAATGCTGTAGAGCTGATGCTGTTGTCCATCGGTCAGACTGTAGTCCGTACGGCTCTTGAGATCCAGACAAACACTTTATGTGCCTTATTTCTATTACCACACTACCATTCAGAAGTTTCTGAAAGAGTCTCTTCTGCTCACCAAAGCTGTTTATTTGATAAAAAATACAGTAAAAACAGTGAAATATTATTACAGTTTAAACAGCTTTTGCTGCTCAAGAAACATTTCTGATTATTATCAATGCTGAAAATATTAATATTTTTGTGGAAACTGCGATACATTTTATTTTTCAGGATTCACAGATGAACAGAAAGTTCAAAAGAAGAGCATTTATTTGAAGTAGAAATATTTGTCACATTATAAATGCCTTTATGTTTTTACATTTAATGTCTTTAAGTATTAATTTAAAATGAATAAAAAAAAATAATAAAATAAAAAATCAAATTGACCCCAAACATTAAATGTTAAAATGGCATGTCTTAAAGGGACAGTGCGCGCACACACACACACACACACACACGCCCTGCAGACAAACTCCCAGACTTCCCTGCACATCTGCCAGCCGTTATTAAACAGTGGCAGACTGCATGATCAGATGTAGAAATGATGATTGAGTCAGTGCTCTGTGGCATGTGCGGTTAAGTGTGTGTGTGTGTGTGTGTGTCCAGTGGGCTCAGTATGCTGCAGTTATGCAGGGAGACACACAAACTGCCGTGAATACTGTCAGGCCATCTTCCGCACAGACTCGTCGCCGACCGTCTCCCAAATCAACGCGGTCAAAGAGTACTGCCAGAGCATCAGTCCGCAGCTCATCGGCTGTGTGGCCAACTACACCAAATCCTACCCCATCCGGAGCCCCATCGACAGTACGTGCACCCGATTTCACAAAGAAATTGCAAGTAACACATCAAATTAAACGAGTAAAAACGACTGAAACAGTAAAAAACTGTTATTAGTCTTTGCTGAACTAAGAGCCATTAAAGAACCTTTGTTTTTAGTAGATGCTTTCTGGGCTAATATTGCCCACAAGCCCCTGATGGGTTTCTAATGATTCTCTTTCAACTATTTTCAGTTTCGGGAATAAAAATGTGAGGTAGAAGTTTTTAAATGTATGACTGTCAGAATGAAGCAACGCTACTTTGAAGGTAACACTTGTAGCAATGGTAGCATGATGTACATATAAACCAATGCTGTGCTGTGCTGCTCTGAAATGAGGAGACAAAGTCCTCAGTTTTTTTAATCAAATGTAATGTCCCAGTCACGTTTTCTTGGTTAAATAAACGTTACTTTATCAGAAAAAGAAAAAAAAAACCTCTGTTATATTTATTTTCTAATATTTGTGTTGTTTTATTTTTGTAATACTTTTTTTTTTTTTTTACGCCCCTGATATAAACAAGTATTTGATGAGGTCAGTGCTAATATATGCCAATACTGTCTGTCTTAGTGTTTTTTATTTTTGAAAGAAATTAATACTTTTATTCATCAGGGACGCATTAAATTGATCAAAGTAAAGACATTTATAATGTGACAAAAGATTTCTATTTCAAATAAATGCTGTTCTTCTGAACTTTCTGTTCATCTGTGAATCCTGAAAAATAAAATGTATCACAGTTTCCACAAAAATATTGTGCAGCACAACTGTTTTCAACATTGATAATAATCAGAAATGTTTGTTGAGCAGCAAATCAGCATATTAGAATGATTTCTGAAGATCATGTGACACTGAAGACTGGAGTAATGATGCTGGAAATACAGCTGCGCATCACAGAAATACATTACAGTTTAACAGATATCCACATAGAACACAGCTGTTTTAAACTGTAATAATATTTCACAATTTTTACTGTATTTTTGGTCAAATACTTTTAGTGCGTAGATCAAGTATGCAAATTGGAATTAAGTCTCTTTGAGACAGTCTAATGTTCTGCATATTTCATTAAGGATTTTTGTTTTAATTATTTTGCAATTACCACAATATTCAATATATATTTCAATAGTTATTTATTTGCTCTGAAATCATGCAACCTCCATATAGATTAACTAAAAACTAAAACAGTGTCAAATGTAGTTAAAAATAATCAGTGAATATTCAGTTAGCTGCCAAGGCAGTATTTCTATTCTATTTCTTATTATGTCAATGAATGAAAAACATTCATTTTAGTTTCAGTCAACCCTAGAGTGAGTCATTGAATGATTCACTCAACAGATTCAGAAGCATCCACCATGTAGATGAAAGCAAATCATGCTTTCTACTCATTTTAAAACATGAACAGTGCCAGGTTTTGAATCTGACAGTTTGAAGTGATTCAGGAAATGACTCACTTACCCAGAATGCCGTGTGTCTGTGCTCAGGTTTGTACTGCTGTGACCGGGCGGAGGAGGCTCACTGTCAGACGGCCTGTAAGCGTATTCTTCGCACCATGAGCACCGAGCAGGAGATCATGGAGGGTCTGATCAGTGAGTGTGGCAGTCAGCCGCTCCCGCAGGACCCGCTGTGGCAGTGCTTCTTGGGTAGCGCACACCCGCCCACCATAAGTGACCCCGAATCGCCCCCGATCGCCAAGATGGACTACGCCAAACTGCACTGCTGCTTTAAGGCCAACACATCCCACTGCAGGTCAGCACTGAGCCTTCTGAAGGCTAACGGCATCGCTCTGAGACTGAATGTGTTCGTATCCTCACTGTTTGTTAGGAACATGTGCTTGGAGATCAGCACCAACTGGGGCACTCAGACGTGGCAGGAGTTCGACCAGCATTGTGAATACAACCCGGCTGAGATGGACCTCATCACCTGCTTGGCCGACGTCAGGGAGCCGTGCCAGTTAGGCTGCAAAGACCTCAGCTACTGCACCAACTTCAACAACAGGTTAGAAACACTTTCTTACTGTCAGTCTGCTTATACAAGCGTTGGTGCCCATCCTCAAATCTGATACCAAGAGTGTTGATCTACAGTCTAACTGCACCAGGACTTTCCACTGCTTCTGTCTGTTACATTGATCAGCCAGTAGATGGTGACAAGTGACTGTAAGCAATGAGTGAGTCATTTGAATCATTCATTCAACTGATTCATTCAAAAACATGGATTAATTCAGGAACCAAACAAGTGAGTCAGTTATTTTAGTATTGTGTATGTACTACTGTAGTATTTATTGGCATTTTGAATAAGCTTTTATTTATATATTTTCAATATATACAAATTTTAGTAATTTTGTGAAGTTCAAATACATTTTTTGTTGTTGTTTTATTTTATTTTAGTAGCTCAGCTTAAACGTATTTTACAGTTAGTTCAGTTAGTTGTCAAGGTAACATTTATTTATTGAAGTTTTTCAGCTAGCATTTTTTAAATTTTATTTCAACTTTATTTCAATTAAATGAAAATTATTTTAAATAATTTTAGTTATAGTTAACAATACCAACACTAAAATTAGTCATTGAATCATTTACTCAACAGATGATTAATTCAGGAGGAAAACACTACTATGCCGTGTTTCGATGGCTCTTTTCATTGTGGAGTAACTGATGTTGTGTCTAAAATGTATGTTACTCAATTTTAACTTCTCGTTTATTGGACTGTAGTGTACAATAAGCATATAATTAATTCACATATATCCTCAACTGCCAACTGTAGTATTGTTATGCTCTTTTTTGTTATAAAGATGGGTTCACAAGGTTCATAAGTTTGGATGCTGTTATGTAACTGAACACGAGGACTGGGTTTCATGGAAAAATGAATATCCAGCAGGCATATTGTTGGGTTTCTCTGGCCTGTGCGTTTTCTCTGTGGGTTACAGATGTAGACAGCATGATTTATGATGACAGAAGTAGTCCAGCATTGTTTTCGGGTCAAACATGCATGGAGCTCTTTGACGGGACCGCTGGTTCCCCTGCGCCATAGTCGATCCCACGAGTCCTCTCAAAGGTTTGACTGAAGAGAGATTCAGGCCTCAAAGAGTTTGTGAAAGTGTCATAACAAGCCTCGTTAGATGATGAAATGGCATTACTTCAGGACCCTGTGAGAGCATTCAAACGAGGCTCACGGTGAATGTGCAGACCTCCCGAGGGGGTTTGGAGGGTTTTTCATGACTTTTGAGTCCAATTACGGCTGGTGGCTAGAGGTGGCTGAGATTTTGACAGATGTTTGGAAAAACAGAATAATTTAATACTGAGTAAACAGAGTTTGGTTGACCTGAGACACTTAAACTCACACTGACCCTTTGTCATAGCTCAGGGTTTGCTAATGCATTCAAGACATGATCAGACGAGAGCTGCTAAAACACACACACACACACACACACACAGTGTTCTGAAACACGATTTCTGCTCAGCTGGAAGTAATATGAGTGAAAAGAAATCCTATAGACATCTATTGATGGGAGCCAGTATGTATCTAGAGATCAGGAGTGGGCACTTATGACCTATAATCACCCTAGCAACCACCCAAAACTCCCTAGCAACCCCATTGCAACACTAAAAGCATCTTAGAACACCATGTTATCAACATCCCAGCTTAGTCATCCTAATCATAGTAACACAATGATGGATGTTTTGCTAATGTTCCCATTAGGTTATGAAAATGTTATTTCTGAATGTTATCTTAAAGTTCAAAACATCCAGTTTGTAAATGCTTTAAAGCAAACATGGGAATGTTCCATTTGATCATGAGAACGTTACTTTTGAGTGTTCTCTGAACAAGTAGTAACATTTAAAAAATGTTAGACGAACATTCAACTACAATTTTTCAGGAAAAAAATCCATGAAAGATATTTAAATAATGTTTTTTTCTAATGTTTTGAGAATGTTTTTAAAGAATAGATAACTTATAGTATCCATAAAAAATAATACCTACAATATTTAGTTATACATGCCATAAAAATAAAAGTAGTTCTGATTGAAAAATGTTATATAAATTCCTCAAAAGTGGCTGTGATTGCAGGCTGAGGAAGGAATCCAATTCAGTCTGAAATATTCTGAGTTTTATTTTCTTTGGCTGATGATGACGATGATGAAGGCACCCCCGCTCCTCTGACGGGATGTGAGCTCAGGCAAACCGCCGCTGGCTTTGATTTCTCTGAAGGATTCCTGGTGTTGATTGGATCCTGCAGATTTCAAAGAGAGCTGAAGGTAAATAGGGAAGAAAGCGGAGCGTCAAGTGTGCTGGAGTGATGTATACTTACCCTGATGCACATCACAGCAGGTCTGCTTGTCACCCTGTGGAGTATGTAAACCAGCACAAATAAACCAGACAGAGAGATCCACACACAACTTCATCCTGACCACACCAGCTCATCCCTAATGGTGACTGATATGTTATTTATTTATTTATTTATATGACTGAATGAAATGAACACATACACACACACACACACACTTGTCTGGTCAGCTATCCTTGTGGGGACTCTCCATAGGCGTAATGGTTTTTATACTGTACAGACCGTATATTCTATTGCCCTACACCAACCCTACCCCTAAACCTACCCCTTACAGGAAACTTTGTGCATTTTTAGA